TCTGAGCTCCCTTTCCCCCTAGCACGTGTGGTTGGCCTCCAAGCTATGGAGTAAAATTCCTGGTACTAATCTGGGCTGAAGCGATAGCACAGCGGTAGGGCGTTTGCCTTGCACGCAGCCAACATGTCCGACCCGAGTTCAATTCCTCCACCCCTCTCAGAGAGCCCGGCAAGCTACCGAGAGTATCTCGCCCACGCGGCAGAGCCTGGCAAGCTACCTGTGACGTACTTGATATGCCAAACACAGTAACAACAAGTCTCATGATGGAGACGTTACTGGGCCCACTCGAGCAAATCGATGAACAACGGGAGGACCGTGAATCTCGGCCATTCTTGGGTGTTAGTCTCCTATTTTGTTACTTTATGTTCCCCAGATGAATGCAATCTTTCTATGTCTATCCCTTATAAGAAACTCTTTAAATTACATCTGCAGAATTGTTCTAGTACCTTATTGGCAAGATCTATGGACAAGATATTGGATGGATTATCCGGACTCCTAGTAACAGTGCTCTTAGGTAATTGAATTCTTCAAAAAGTTGCAGGAAATCAAGGTTTTTCAACATGGGATTAAATGAATTAAATATACTAAACTATATGCTGAACTCCTGATATAGTGCTTTTAGATAATGGGAAGTCAAGGTTTTCAACATGGGATTGAAAGAATTAAACACAACGTTAAACTGTATGCTTTATCCCTACAGATCTTAGCTTCTTTGACTAGGACTCACAGCAAACAGCCGCATGCAAAACAAATGCCCTACCCACTGTGCTATCTCTCCAGCCCCTGCTTTTCTCTTCTTTGTACCTTCAGTATGTTTTTGCTGCTTCATGGCACTATCTTGGTTTGCATAAATCCAGATAAAATTCTTTCCTCTCTGTGATAGGGTCTACCCCGAATACAGATATTTTCCTAAACCAGCTAATGGGACCCCAAACCCCTCTTCCAGGGAAACAGTCAAGGGATTGGTCTAAATGACAGGAGCAGGTGTTTAACCTGTACTTTTAAATATCTTTGTATTTAAAAGATATTATAAATATCTTTGTACTTTTAAATATCTTTGTATTTAAGTACTTTTAACAGGTACTTTTCCAATATCTTTTCCATAGATCTTGCCAATAAGTTACTAGAACAGGTTTCAAGTACCCTACAAACCTCAGGGGGATGAATCTAGAGGCAGGCCGGCTCAAGGAAATACTAGAAATCATCACTGCTATGGAAAATGAGGAATCTGGGAATCTGCAATGACTGACTCAGCCTGGGCCCTCCTCTCAGCATCAAGAAAAAACCTAGAAAACAGGATCTCTCCCAGCCCTGAAGAAGGGATGGGATAGACTCCTTTCTTCCAGGACACCTACGGAAGGTAAGAGGCTTGAGGCCACATCCATTTCATCCTGAAGGCTTGAGGCCATCCAGTTCATCGGGGGACTTGATCTTCACATCTTTTTTTTTTTTTTATTAGTGAAACACCATGTGGTACAGTTGTAGACTTACAAATTTTTGTGCTTGGGTTTCAGTTATACAATGATCGAGTACCCATCCCTCCACCAGTGCCCATCCTCCACCACCACCACTGGTCCCAGTATCCCTCCCACCACCCATCCCCTTATGGCCAGGTTTGGATAACTCCGACTTTGAGATTAAAAAAAAATAATGCCACTATTGGTGTGTCTTTGGTGTGTCTCCTGTCTTTAGCCAAAATGGAGAGATTTCTAATCTTGCTGTGTTTATGCAAAAGAACAAGTCAGGTTTGTTAAGCCATTTGGCAAATTGAAAATGAAGGTAGAGAGAAAACCATGTTTCTGTAACTTGCTTTTTGTAAGGATCAGATTCTAATTCTACAGAGGTGACTGAAAAACTGTATTCTAATGGGCTTGATTTTAAAGGTATCCACCTTGGGTAATTCAGATAAAACTTGGTTTACTGACTGGAGGTGAGCACCGTAGTCTATAAAGGAATTTAATGTTGTACATGCTGTCACTAGTCTGACCAGGATAGCTGAAGCCAGGGGCTTACCAAGGAGAATGTCAGCAAAAAGACAGACTTAATCTTGAACCTACTAATACGCCAAGGGACTTCTAAGAGGACATCTAAACTGGTTCTAAGTATTCATTCTTCATTCTATGGACACATAGTCATTTGGAGAGAACAAAGATTTTTAACAGTTCTTAATTCTTGTTCCATCATGGGATTAATACCCCATCCAGAGAATATTTCCTCTAAGCCACAAAACACTGGAGAAGAGGAACAGTAGACATTGAAACATGGTTTTCAAAAAGGAAACTGATGGCTGAAGGGTTACATGAAGCTTCTCACATGGGAAGAGATGCTTTAATAACAGTTGTGAAATCCATCTTCCATGGGAAGGGACTGAACAGGACAGTGAGAGAGATGAGAGAGAAGTAACTCAGAACTGTGCTTTCTGTGCTATTAATAAACCTAGTGGAAATCTTGGGCCTCCTCTCCTAAAACTGCCCGTTCAGCATCAAGGAACCCCTCCACGGGAAGATTGGCACCTTGACTTCATGCAAATGATCAAATGTTCAAATGTTCAAGGTATAATGGTTCTTATTGGTACCTTCCGTGGATGGACAGAAGCTCTTCTAGTCTGTATTGAGAAAGCCAGAGAGGTGGCTTGGTGTTCTTATGTCCGTTAGAAAAATCTGGACACAGAAAGTAATTTTCTATCAACCAAACTTGTGGGTGGAGTTAGTCCTTTCCATTTTTTTTATGATAGAAATGAGTATGGCATTATGTTGCTTTGGTTTCTGTTGCTTTAACTCTTATATTTTCAAACCACTCTGTCCTTACTGGGTCAGAAAGGACCTTCTACTCCTCTAGGGTCTAATAATTTCAAGGTGATATTCCTCAGTCCAAGTGATGCGATCTTTTCTTTCAGATAACTTCAGTAACCCAACCAATTCATTGCCTGGGGCCCATTAAAAAAACTAAGGTAGCATGAGATTTCACCCCTTGTGCAGGCAGGGTAAGCACCCCTTCGTCAGCATGAAGTAGCTCCAGAAGATGGACCATCGACCGTTTTCCCCTTCAAAAGTTAAGGTGGTAAAATCTCTAGGGAGGAATATGATATAGGTAGGCAGGCAGCTCGGGAAGGCCCCTTCCCAAGGCAATGGCAGAAAATTTCCTGGCAAGTAATGGCTCTGAAGTTGCAAAAGCCTGATAAGACCCTCAGCAGAAAAGAGGAAAAAACAGAAACTGGGGCCCCTTGGAGGGGAGCGGGTTGAGCTTTCCTCCCCGCCCTGGCCAGGGCCCCGGCAGCCGAAGACCTCCAGGACCAGCCACCACCATGCTGAGACCACTCTCCGCACACATGAAGGTACCGGCAGAGGGACAAAGCCACATGGGTTCCGGGGCCGAGATCTCCAAGCCTACTCGGGGCCGAGATCTCCAAGCCTACTCGGATTGGAGTCGAGCATCCTCCACCCAGATTCTCCAAATTCCAGTAGGCGGGGGTCACACCCACCACCTGGCTCCCTGGCGCCGTGTAATCCCATCAGCGGCCAAGACTCTGAGACTATAAAAACCAGCTCCCAGAACCGCGTGTCCGCATTTGTGGCCGTGCGACATCTTATTATGACATCTTATTATCTCATTTCTACTTTGGACAAACTGGCAGGCTACCGAATGTAGCCTGCCCACATGGCAGAGTCTGGCAAACTCCCCGTGGCGTACCAAATATGCCAAATACCAGTAACAATGATGGGTCTCATTCTCCTAAAAAGCCTTGAATATAATCTCAGGGCTAGGATGAAGGAGACGTTACTGGGGTCTGCTCGAGGCAATCGACGAATAACAGGATGATCTGTGATCTGATCTGTGAGGCCTGATAAGACCCTCACCTGGTGCCAGCATTATACTCAGAGGAGCTCCAGCAGAAAAAAAAAGGCCAGGAAAGGAATTTCAAAGGCCAGGAAAGGACCATCACCACTCCCAACCCTACCCCACTTGGCAACCCCCTTAGCAATAAAGAACTTATACCTAGTTAGAAGCCTCATGTGGGGACGTGTTAAAAAAAATCCCTATAAAGGCCACCTTGAACAAAGGAAGGGCACGCATATGCTGCCTGAGCCCATGTGCTGCTTGTGCCCACGTGGCCTGGCACAGGTGGTGCCTGAGCACATGTGTTGCCTGCATCTCCTCTCTTGAGATGTGAGTTTCATGCTTTCAAGCCTAATGCTGGGCCGTGTGTAGGGGCTCTCTCCACCCGTGGAGGAGCCCAGGTAGGTTCTCTTTTGAGCACGTTACTCTCCACTATCCCCCACTTTCTCTTCCTCCTCTTCTCCAGAACCTCCAAATAAAATCTGTTTTACTCAACTTCACTGCTTGTCTACTCCGGAAATTCTTTTCTGCGAGGCAAGACAAGAACCCATAACCCTGGGTCCTGAGTGGCAGAGGCAGACTGGGAGAAAGGGACCGTCTTTTTCGTCCCTGCTTCACACGAGACACCCGTGGGTCCCATCCACGTCACTTTGACCCCAGGAAGGAGAAGGACAGAGAAGTAAAGAAATCTAGGAGGGAAGGAAGAAGATGAAAAAGGGAAGTAACGGGGGAACAGGGGTGGGGACTTTGGTCACACTGGTGAGGTGAGAGTGATAGCACTATATACACAAGGCACAGACTCAGCAACACTGAAAATGAGATTTAAGCTGCAAGCACCAGACTCTGTAACACGCCTGTCAAAGTGTATGTGTGGGGTGCGGGGGAGCGGGGATGGGGTGTGGGCACACTGGTGGAGGGAAGTTGACATTGGTGGTGAGCTTGGTGATGAAATATTATATGTCTAAAACTCAACTATCAGTAAATTTGAAACTCGTTGTTCTTACTTTTAAAAAAGGAAAAGACCCACACACAGAGACACACACGCACCCACGGGCACGCACACTCGCACACGCTAAGGCTGAGGCTTCTCCCTTTGCCTCCAGGCCCCAGGGCGCTGGGTGGAGCTTGCGGATGATCTTAAATGAAACTGAAATGAAAGTCCACTTCCTCATTACGAATACCTCATGTGACAAGTTCTAATTTCTTTTAAAGCCAGTTTGACTAAGGTCTCTTTGCTGCCTTGGGACTTTGAGAGACCACCTTCAAGGACTCTCCACCGGGCACCTGCTGGTTCTGGCACGTAAGTACTGGTTCGCTTTCCCCTAAGGCCTTTAAACTCTGGGCTTCTGCACTTAACCAGCTCAGTCCAGTTGCTAGGCTGCAGTAAATCTTTGCTACCAGGAAGTAAACAAAAAAATCTTATTGCTTCCTTTGTTTCATTTTTTTTAACTAAAAATATATTTTTTTAAAAGTTGAAAAGTGTCTATATTTAAGCCTGAGGCTAAGACAACTTTTGGGAAATATAATTTAAGGATTGATTTGGTTGAAGTTCCAGCTGTTTTGAGTAATAAGGCAACAAAAGTAGAATTCAATTTGAAGGAGATAGTGAATTTCTGCTCGAGTCCCTCTTTCGCTAAATATAGAAGTAGAGTTTTCAAGAGTAGGTAATAACCTCTGTTGAAATATATATATATATATACACATATTTGGAGAGCCCGGCAAGCTACCGAGAGTATTCGATATGCCAGACACAGTAACAACAAAGTCTCCAATGGAGACGTTACTGGGCCCGCTCGAGCATATATATATATATATATATATATATATATATATATATATATATGTAGGCCGGAGCAATAATACAGTGGGTAGGGTATTTGCCTTGCACACGGCCAACCCATGTTCAATCCCCAGCATCCCATATGGTCCCCCTAGCACGGCAAGGAGTGATTCCTGAGTGCAGAGTCAGGAGTAACCCCTGAGCATCACCAGGTGTAACCCAAAAGCAAAATATAAAATAAATAATAAAATAATAATAAAGGCCCTCCCGTTGATCGTCGATTTGCTCGAGCGGGCCCAGTAACGTCTCCATTGGAGACTTTGTTGTTACTGTGTCTGGCATATCGAATACTCTCGGTAGCTTGCCGGGCTCTCCGAGAGGGGCGGAGGAATCGAACTCGGGTTGGCCAATTTGGCTGCATGCAAGGCAGACGCCCTACCCACTGTGCTATCTCTCCAGCCCGGTATAAATATAAATATAAATATAGATAAAAATAATAAAAATATAAATATAAAATAAATATATAGAGATTTTTGGGCCACACCCAGCAGTGCTCAAGGCTTACTCCTGGCTCTGTGCTCAGCGATAACTCCTGGCAGGGCTCCAGTGACCATATATGGTGCTGAGGATTAAACCTTGATCAGCAGTGTGTAAGGCAACCTCCTTACCTGCTATACTATCTCTTAGGACACTGCTAGGAAAATTTTTTAAAAAGTGATGGCAACATTGGCAGGGAGAAATGTCCACTGGTAAAGGGATGGGTGTTGGAACACTGCATGGCTGAAACCCAATCGTGAAAAACTGTGTCTCTCATGGTGATTCAATTAAAAAAATAACAAAGGTAAAGGTAAAGGCCCTCCCGTTGATCGTCGATTTGCTCGAGCGGGCCCAGTAACGTCTCCATTGGAGACTTTGTTGTTACTGTGTCTGGCATATCGAATACTTAAGAAGTGAAGGCAATGCCCAAATCGTCTTTTGACTCCCTCTCACAGTTGCACTTAAACAAACCAGTTAAGAATTTTGTGACTCAGGAGTTGAGAGATAGAACAGGGGTTCAGGATTTGCCTTACACGCTGCTGACCTTAGTTTGATCTTAGTTTGATCCTTAGCACTACATGGGATCCTCCAATCACTGCAGAGCCAGGAACGGCTCCTGAGATCTGTCAAGTAAATAAAAATTCTGTAATTCGGAAGATAAACTGGTTTTTCAAAGGTTTGTCTCGGGAGCTTTAGCCATAGTCCAGTGGGGAGGGTGTTCGTTTTGCATGCACCGTCAGGAGTAGTTCCTGAGTGCAGAGCCAGGAGTCACCCCTGACCATTGCTGAGTATGACACCCCTCCCCGCCAAAACAAAACAAACAAAAGTTTGTCTTTCTTTTTTTTTTAATTTTTATTAATTAATTTTGGTTTATTCATCCCCGGGATCCCTTTGTTGTGCAGTTCTGTTGTCTCAATGCCCAGAACTTCTTCATCCTTGGTGCTGGCCTGTCTGACATCACCAACTTTATCTGCTTTGGTTCAGGACCCTCAAACAGCGGAGTTGCCAGGGTAGAACTGCCAGTCCATGGGAGAGGCTCGGCCCTGAGTCTCCTCCAGCCCACCACTGTTTTCTAAGGATGGTTTTCCAAGAAGGCACGGGAAGAACGGAGATTTCCCCTTGAAATCCTTTCGGGCTATTCCTTCTTTCCCTCCTAGATATCCTCCCCATGCCTTGGAAAGAAATCTGGTTCTGTTAAAATCAGGAGATTTCTGCAAATCACTTTTCAAAGTGCTACTGAGTTTTGTGGAGCTGCAGAAATAGATCTGCAATTAGTCCTGGGGGATTCCTATAGAATACCGGTGAGTAACATTCTGTCTCTTTGACAGACTTTGCTCCTTTTTGTTTGTTCTCCTTGCTTTCGGAGCACTGCCCGCGGAGCACCGAGGCTGCTCCCAGCACAATGAGTGCAGGTGCTTGGTAGCAGGGATGGAGCCAGGCTCCCACACGTGTAAACCATGGACAGTCCAGCCCTCTGCACCATCTAAGGCCCCGGCGCTGCGATTTTTTCTTTTGGAAAAATAATCACTTAATCACTTAACTTCCCTTTAGTCGTCGATTTGCTCGAGCGGGCGCCAGTAACGTCTCCATTCGTCCCTGTCGCATGCCAGTGTAGCCCAATGGCATCTGTTGGAAAAATAAACTCACAATATATTCAGATAATGACCTTCTCGCTTGACCTTTTCAGGATGAGCTGGCTGGCCTGGGCCTTCCTGCTGTGTGCCTCGGCCACGGCGCACCTGCACAGGGACAGCACGCTGGACACCCACTGGGCTCTTTGGAAGAAAACCTATGGCAAACAGTACAGAGGAGAGGTACGTGGTGGACGCCAGGCAGTCGGCCGGCTTTGCCCCCAATGCCGTCTGTTTCCTCTTCTTCAAAATGGTCTTTTCACAACAGGGTTATCAACAAATCCTTGGCACTCACTCGGGGCAGAGGGCCTCCTCCCAGAGCTCAGGAGAGGCCCTGTTGGGTTTTGGCCAGTTGGGGTGCACGGACAATGCAAGGGCCAGATAATGCCACATGGCTCAGGCTACGCAGTGCAGAGACCAGGTGATGCTGGAAATGGAACCTGGATTGGCACCTGTCGTGCTGTCCCCAGACCCAAGCTGTGCACTGTTTCCCAGCTTTCCCCACCGCCCCCCTCTCCCTCCCCTCTTTTTGGAGGGGTCACACCCACTGGTCTTCAGGGCTTATTCCTGGCTCTGCATTCAGGGGACCATATGGGATTGAACCTTGGTTGGCCTCTGAACTCAAGCCCTCCTCCTTCTTCCCTTCCTCCTCCTCCTCCTTCCTTTTCCTTCTCCTTTTTCTTCCCTCTTCGTCCTCCTCCTTCTCCTCCTCCTCCTCCTCTTCGTCGTCCTCCTCCTCCTCCTCTTCCTTCTTCTTCTTCTTCTTCTTCTTCTTCTTCTTCTTCTTCTTCTTCTTCTTCTTCTTTTTCTTCTTCCTCCTCCTCCTCCTCCTTCTTCATCATCATCTTCTTCATCATCATCATCTTCTTCTTCATCATCATCTTCTTCATCATCTTTTTCTTCTACTTATTCTTCATCATCATTCTTCTTCATCATCATCATCTTCTTCTTCTTCTTCTTCTTCTTCTTCTTCTTCTTCTTCTTCTTCTTCTTCTTCGTCTTCTTCTTTTCTCTCTCTCACACACACACCTAAATAAAACCATTTGCTGAAAAAAAATGAAAAGAGGAAAAATAAAAGAAGAAAAGAAAATGATAACATATTTGAGGAACAAAAGGGCACTAACTTCATTCCTTGGTAGAAACACTACAGATCTTGTTTATTTATTTATTCTTTTATTAATGTAGAAGTCCTGCTATTTTTCCAAGCATTGATTAAGCTGACTGAATGGAGCATGAACTCCACATTACTTTTTAAAAAATATTTTTAATGGAATATCCGTGAGATAGACAATTACAAAGCTCTTCATAATTGGGTTTCAGTAATGCAATGACCCAGCACCCATCCCTTCACCCATTTCCCACCACCAAAGACCCTTGTTTCCTTACCACCACCCCACCACTACCACCACCGCCCCAGCCTCCCTCTCTGGGAGGCACTTTCCTTCATGCTCTCTCTCTTCTTTTCTTTTCATGTATTATGGTTTGCAATACAGGCTAGGAGGTCATGGTGTTTGTTCAGGGCATTTGGTATTTTTATCAGGATGGTAAGGCTGGAGTAGCTTTTCAGTTGGGTGGCTGCTTTGGGGTGTGGATGTGACTTCTAAGCCTTCCAGAAGTACAGGGAGGTGGGGGAAGGTAGCCCATCCCGACCCCGAGAAAGCCTGGAGATTTCAGTCACAAAACCTGCATACCAAAATTTTCAGAGGATTAAATCTTGGTGAGATCCATCCTGAGATGGTGGAGTCGGGCTGGGGGTCTGGTGGTGATTTTGGGTTGTAGGAGCAAGCAGCTGTCAGGGGCTCTGCTTGGGTGGCCCCCCTCTGATTTATCCCTGTCTGTTCAGCCATGCATGGGTCCGAGATTAACTTCAGCTTTTGATCTCCTTCAAGATTATCTATGGGTCTCTGAAATAAGGCCGAAATGGGGGCTTGTATGGCTGAGCCAGTGGTGGTTTGTGGGCGTGGCTACCCACATACCTAACTTTTGGTCATTTAATTTCTTGGTAAAACTGGCCCCAAATTGTTGGGGTCCGGTCAAAGGCAGAGTGGCAATTTTGGGATGTCAGGAAGTCTGAAGGCACCATCGGGCTGCTGATGCACTCGCCCTGCAGATTGACCTGCAGACAGCACTATGCCCCAGATGCTGTTTATTTTTTCTTTTAAACATTTTTATGAATGCACTGTGATTTCCAAAGTTCTTATTAGTTGGGTTTTAGGCACGCAGTTGTTCCCATATCAAGCCCCCCACAAGAATCCATTTCCATCTACAGTGTCCCGGTTCCTTCCTGTCCTCCTACAGATGTCAGTTCTTGACTTTCATTTCCCAGTTTGTACTTTTGTTTTTATTTCAAAGCATAAGTAGTGAGTGAATTTAAGACTATTATCCTACTGTTCCACATACCTTAGTTCTGCAACTGGATGTCCTTTCTGAATTTGTAAACAAGTCTTATTTATCCTTATTTATACTACGTTCATTAAAGAGATCTCATTTTTAATAGGAAGTTAGCTTAAAATGTGACTATAAGGGGCATAAGTACCTGTTTAGTATATTAAAACTTCACGGGGAGCATTTTTTTATAGCACTGTAGCACTGTCCTCCCATTATTCATCAGTTTGCTAGAGCGGGCACCAGTAACGTCTCACAACAAATTGTGAGACTTGTTATTACTGTGTTTGGCATATTGAATACGTCACGGGTAGGTTGCCAGGCTTTGCCTTGCAGGTGAGATACTCTCAGTAGCTTTCTGGGCTCTCCAAGAGGGGTGGAGGAATCGAACCCAGGTCGGATGCACGCAAGGCAAACACCCTACACACCCGCTATGTTATTGCTCCAGCCCTGGAGCATTTTTATATAAAATTAAATGTTCAGCCTTATGCAAATAATAATGTGGGCATTCTAAAAACATTTGGAAAGTCTAAGAATATTTATATGTTTTGGTTAATCCTATATCAGGAGTTTATATTACTTACTATTCAGTGGATTTACTCACCAGTTGAATTGCAAGAAAATCTTTCAATTGAATCTGCAGAATTTATCTAATGCTTTTGTTTGGAGAAGTCTATGAAAAACAAAAGGGACTTAGATGCTTATACTCGCTATAAAACTAGAAAGTTACAGTAGTGCCATTAGGGAAAAAAGTGGCCATTCAAATCTATTGGAAGTCAAGGTTCTTGATGCTTTAGTAGGACAGCCCCAAGTTGTTTTCTTAGTGGGGATGGATTCCACCCTCGCTCTGTCCCCCTTGAGAGCCACTTGACACCAAGGTGGGCTAGCAAGGCTGTAAAATGAGCATCACCTGTTCACGGGAGGGAATAAAGAGGACTTCTCTTAATTTTCTTTTATGGCTGTTGCGTGTGTGTGTGTGTGTGTGTATGTGTGTGTGTGTGGAGTGGGGGTGGATTACCTCTGGCTATGGTCAGGGCTTACTCCTGGCTCTGCACTCAGGGGTCACTCCTGGTGGGACTCAGGGGACCATATTTGGTGTTGGGGATTGAACCGGGTTTGCCACATGCAAGGCAAACCCTCACCTGCTGTACTGTCACTCCAGCCCCAACTTTTATTTTTTTCTACCTTTATTATTTGGGCTGGAGCGATAGCACAGTGGGTAGGGCGTTCGCCTTAGAAGCGGCCAACATGGCCGACCCAAGTTCGATTCCTCCGCCCCTCTCGGAGAGCCCGGCAAGCTACCGAGAGTATTCGATATGCCAGACACAGTAACAACAAAGTCTCCAATGGAGACATTACTGGGCCCGCTCGAGCAAATCGACGACCTTTATTATTTATCTTGAGGTTCATGGCTTTTCCCTTCCTTTCCTATACTTTGTTAGATTTCTTTTGCTTTTTTTTTGTTTTGCTTTGTTTTGGGGGTACATTCAGTAGTGCTCAGGACTTATTCCTGGCCCTGTGCTCAGAGTTCACTCCTGGGAGTGCTTAGGGGACCGCATGGGGTGCCGGGGGTCTAACCTGTGTCAACCAGATGGATGCAAGCACTCTGTTCACTGAACTGTGTGTCCAGCCACCCCCTGTGACCCAATCTCTTTTCTTTTACTCTATTTTCTTCTCTTCTGAATTGGAAATATCTCTGTACATACCCATTGTTGGGATAACAGTAAAGTATTCGAAGGAAAGGGACTAGATCTAGACTTTTACTATACAGAATCAGATTCTGGGGGAAGATTCTCCCATTCAATGAAGCAAGGCTGAAAACTACAGCTGAGAACTAATGGTTGGGCTGCAGCCTCTGGGAAACTCTGGCCCCAGGGTGTGGGTCAGTGATTCTAGGCTTGTACTTGATGTGTGTTTTATTCTCTGTAAACAAAAGCTCCTATAGGGCACTCAGAATCGACCACCACGCTGAGCTCACTCTGAAAAAAAATGAAAAAATAGAATCACGCTGTGTATCTTTCAGTTCCACATGTGAGAGTGATCACCCTGTGTCTGTCCCTCTCCTCCTGACTGACTTCATTTCATTTCATTTCATTTCATTTCATTTCATTTCATCATCCTGTTATTCGTCGATTGCCTCGAGCAGGCCCCAGTAACGTCTCTTTCATCTTAGCCCTGAGATTATATTCAAGGCTCTTTAGGAGAACGAGACCCATCATTGTTACTGGTATTTGGCATATTGGGGACGCCACGGGGAGTTTGCCAGACTCTGCCCTGTGGGCAGGCTACATTCGATAGCCTGCAAGTTTGTCCAAAGTAGGAATGAGACAATAAGATGTCATAAAAAAAAGTTCTGATAAGATGTTGCGCGGCCGCAAATGCGGCCGCACGGTTCCGGAATCTGGATGTTATAGTCTCTGAGTCTTGGCCGCTGATGGGATTACACGGCGCCAGGGGGCCAGGTGGTGGGTGTGACCCCCGCCTACTGGAATTTGGAGGATCTGGGTGGAAGATGCTCGACTCCAATCCGAGTAGGCTTGGAGGTCTCGGCCTACTCGACTTCACGCAGTATGATAACCTCTAGTCCCATCCACATGGCTGTAAACTGCATGATTTTATTCCTTCTTAGAGCTGCATAATATTCCACGGTGTCTGCATACCACAACTTCTTGATGCCATCCATCTGCAACACAGTGAGATAACTGAACCACAGAACTGAGATGGGGGATAGAGCGAGTGGGGATGGGTTTGGGCACCCCCGCGGTGGGGTGGGGCTGGATTATGTGCATGAGAAACAG